AGAGAGAGAGAGGAAGAGAGAGAGAGAGAAGAGAGATAATTTTTATTTTTGTACTTTTATTGATTTTATTGAATTGGAAGGCCATACATCCACACATTATAACATATGACTCGACAATAAATGCTTAAATTGTTGCAGCACATCAGATAATTTACCTAAACGGGGCACGTACGCACGGACGCACGGAGGCACGCTGAGAGAGAGAGAGAGAGAGAGAGAGAGAGAGAGAGAGAGAGAGAGAGAGAGAGAGAGGGGGGAGGGAGAGAGAGAGGGGGGGGGCAGAGAGACAAAGATAAAGACAAAGAGGGAGACAAATTGAATGCCAGCGGGAGGGAGGGAGAAAAAAGAGGGATGGGGAATGGACACAGAGTAAATAAAAAACATTTTTTGAGAAGAAGGAGCAGAAAGAATTGTGTCACGACCCGATATTTTCAAGCTCTCGTTAAGTTTTAAGGCATATTGAGCTAATGGTATGATCTTAAAACGTGTTCATTTGTCTTGCTTTTGATGAAAAAATGCATTAAAATATGCAATTAAAAATGAAATCGATGTTGAAGCGGTTGGGGGTCGCTTGGTTACAGAGGTAAAATTAACGAAATATTGGCTGCCAAAGTTTGGTGTCTTTCAAGCGTCCCTGGAAACTGCAAATTGCATTAATTTATTGGGTCTTTGATCAACGTTTTCTTCAAACCAAATCTACACACAAAAGTGTTTTAAAAATTTTGAAAAATGGGTATTCCAATGTAAAGCGCATTGAGCTACTTTTTTGGGAAATGCGCTCTATAAATGTTATATATTATTATTATTATATTATTAAATGAACATTATGAAAGATGTTGCGGCCAAAAAAAACAAAAAAAAATTTTTTTAAGGTGTTACCGGACGAAAAAATTCTTGTTTCTTCAATTTCATTAACTTGACGAACTCGTGATTTCACCCCAATGCCTAACATATCCCCCCCCCCTCCCTTTACAACCTGCCCTTTTCCCAATATTCATCTTTTTCTTGTTTTTACTTTAATGAAAGCGTTGACTTAATGTAATAAAACCTACCGGATGTGGAAACTGCCTCACTATCTGCCCTTGGCCCTTTCACATCATCGCATTATGTTGAGGTTAGGTAGGTAAACACTTACGTGTAGGCCTTCTCACGTCTACAGGGGGGAAGGTAGGACTTCATGTAAGCTGTTTGTTTATTTCTCAGATAGTGATATCAGTCACATCCCCAACCACCCCCCCACCCGCACCCCCGCCCCCAAACGTCCCTTGCAACGTAGATGGAATCCCCCCCCCCCAAGTGCTGCTATCCAATAGCCAGCAATGTCAGGGGAAATAATATGTGAGACAGCGTGGTGGAATCAGGCTCTCGTCAAATTAATCAGAGTGAAGAAACTGGCATTTCCCCGCAAGTTTTATCATTTTTATCTAATTTTTGTTTTCTGTCTCAACACTTTTCATGCCCATTAAAGAACACATTTCTGTGTGGATTTGACTGCAAACCGTTGATTAAAAGCACAAAATTGTAAATTTTCAGTTTCCTCGGACTCTCAAGTTAAGGAAATAACTAATTTTTGGTGGTCATTTTCTCATTTATTTTAACTCTGAAACCAGGTGACCCCCTCCTCCTTCATTCGCAAATATCTCGACTTGTATTCAAGATAAATGGATATTTGTTTCATTCAAAGCAGAAAAATGAACAGGCTTTAAAGTGATATCAATAACTCTGCTTGGCCAAGAATTGACGAGCGCCTGATTCCACCACGTCGAGAAACTAAAATTCAGCTGACGGTGAATGATCAGTCTCAGTCAGATGGATATCTCACCGCGCTGAGAAAGTTTTGGAGAAGTTGGGGTGACCTGCTTCCAGTGGGATGGGACCACGCCTTCAGCATCAAGAGTGGTATTTGCGTGGTTGCCCCCCCCCCTCCCCCCCCCCCAAAAAAAAAAGTTGTGAGAGACGACTTTTACGCAGAAATCTTACTAATGAATGGTCACCACATTCCCTCGAGTTGAAGCTCCTTAATTATTTCCTTTTGGGTTTTGTTGTTTGTGATGTTGTTTTTGCTTTGTTTTTTGTTTTGTTGTGTTTGTTTGTTTTGTTTGGCTTTAGGTGTGTTTGTTTTTGACAGAAAGAGACAACAGAAACAACTCAAAAACAATCAAACAGTTGAAACTCTATGTTGGAAAGAAACATGTCACAGAATTATTCAAAATCTCCAACGGCGTATAATTTGAGCTTGTCGGGAAAGAAATGAGCAACATCTGGAGCTTACAACTTAAATAGCTACCACCTTCCACGTGTTTATTGGACAATGCCAGTGTATTACTTTTTTTTCTTAAAAATGCTTAAACGCACAGTTGGTTGACTTTTAAGAGGTTATAAAGATCTGTTTCTATAAATTAATTATTGTTGAAAATTTCAAAACTCAATCTTTTTCGAACATTTGAATTTCTCCATTTTGACAAAGGTGATGTCCTCCGGCCTGATTGAAATGTATTTTTTCGAAGTTTTGTTGAAACTGGTTTAAAAATAACCGAGATGTTGCACTTTAAATAGGTCCTCTTTTTTTATAGACATCCGATGAAACCATAGTAACCCATTCTTTTCTGTTTCTTCTATTTAACAGGTATGGACAACCTCCACTGGGAAAACTGCGATTTGCCCGGTCAGATTTGAACCCGTTACCCCCCGTGGTGAATGCCAGTAGGCGGGGTGCCCGCTGTCACCCCGTGATCCCTGATCAACACGCAGATGAGGATTGTTTATTTCTCAACGTTTTTACCCCGGCAAACAGGACGGCTCGTGACTCAAGAGGTTTGGGCACAACACAGACTTGTACTTGTGTTATAATATTCAAGACTGGGCAATTCTGGTGTAATTTTATACATAAATACATAATTATAAATACGTACATACATAAAATTAAATACATGCATAAATACATACATAAATACACAATATTAAACAAATAATACACAACAGTTTACAACCATGCCACTGTGCTGCGCCCTGTATTTTGAGCTAGGGCTGTCTCTCTTAGTAACAAAATGAAGGCCACGGGAAGAAAAGTTGCGAACGTACTAGACTATAGTGAGACTCGTGTTTTGCCATTCATTTACGCGTCCATGTTGCTCACCAGCAAAGCAAAGTTTTCATAGAGAGCAGTCTATGAGTGACCATGACTGTGCCTGGTCAAGGATAACTATAAATCAAATCTATGTCAGCCATAACAGTGTCCGGTCTAGGACATTTTCGAACATTTGAATTTCTCCATTTTGACAAATGTGATGTCCTCCGGCCTGATTGAAATTTATTTTTAAGTCTATGGACGGCCATGACCGTGTCTGGTCATGGATATTATTAAATATTGCACTTCACATTCAAAGAAGTGGCCAATCTTTGAAAATGTTATTTGAAATATGACTTTATTAATCGCTGGTGCTGGTAGGTGGTTGGCGAGTGTTCTAGTGTAGTTCGCTCCTTCTTTTCTATCAAACAACCATCTCCTTTATTTGTGTTTTAATGAACACAAAAAAAGGTATAGAGAGCCTCCCCCCCCCCCAAAAAAAAAAGGAGAAGAAAAGGGTAACAATTGCCCTGCAGAAAAAATGTCGATGTATTTATCTTTTTAAAAATGTTCTACGAGAGCCTGATTTCACCACGATGCTATACTTTTCCCAGCTGTCCTATTCTACATCCACGGAGGAGGAAACATTCTGGGAAATGCTGACGGTGGGGACGCCATCCCTCTGGTGCTTGGCGGTGACGTCATTGTGGTCACTGTCCACTATCGGTTAGGACCCCTGGGGTTCCTCAGCACGATGACGTCAGACGCTCCTGGCAACATGGGATTCTGGGATCAAAATCTGGCTCTTACGTGGCTCTCTAGGTGAGGTTTTTTTGTAGGCTTTTTTACGTCCCTATCGACACAATTTAGATCATTTAAGAGTCTGGCTTCCGCCCCTGCTTGTCAGGGTCAACCCGGGCTGAGATGAATACAAAAATTCCAGTAGAAAGTCTGGGGTGCTTGATAAAAATTCTACTCACTCAGGAATTGAAATAAGATCACCTACATGCGACAGCGAAGCGCTTATACCCTTAAACCACAGACGCCGGTGGTAACAGATAACGATGTTATGTCGACATTATGGTGATGGTGATTTAGGGCGCTAACTTTTACGATGGTTGTGGGTTTTATTTTAAGGTTAATATTTATAATGCTTGATGATTTAACTTTTATTTACGGGTTAACAGTTATTATGTTGGGTGAAAAAACTGGAGTTACAGATATCCCCAACAATTTTTAAAAAAATGGAAATGGGCTGGTCACGTCAGCAGAATGAAGGACAACAGATGGACAAAAAGAATGCTTGTTTAATGTTAGGAGTAGAAACTAAGAACAGGAAAAAGATCTGGACGTGGGCCAGAATGAAGATGTCAGGACAACACCAAAGAGCAGATGGATACAGTCGGGACACAGAAAACAGCTGTGGAGTTGGTTGTTGGAGGGTTACATCCTTCAATGAGCAAACAACGTCAAGAAATAAATAAATGATGAAATTTAAAAGTTATGATGTTAGTATGTATGTATAGTATAAGGTTTTACGGCGCTCGCAACTGCTAAGGTCATATGAGCGCGTGTTATGATGTTAGATCTACAAGGATGATGGTGATCCTTTAAGGAGCTAATTCTTGTTTGTAACTCTTCCCCCTCAGAAACATCGTGTCGTTTGGCGGAGACCCGCGTCGAGTGACCGTGATGGGCGAGTCAGCCGGCGGGAAAGCTACGTCACTCCACACAGTGTCACCACACAGCAGACAGCTCTTTGCCCGGGCAGTCATGGACAGTGGATCTATCTACGGGCCCTCCCTGTACCCCTGGGACCCACTGGAGGCGGGGAGGTGAGGGGGAGGGAGGGGGAGGGAGAGGGACAAGGGGAAGAGAGGGAGAGGGGAGGGGGAGAGGAGGGGCAGTCATAGACAGTGGATCCATCTACTCTACCCCTGGGATCCTTTGGAGGCAGCGAGGTGAGGGGGGAGGGAAAGGGGGAAGGGGAGGGAGACAGGGCCGAGGAGGAGGAGGGGAGGGGCACTCATAGACTGTTGATGCATCTACGAGTCTTCCCCGTACCCGTGGGACCCACTGGAAGCGGCCAGGTGAGTAGTGGGGATGATGGAGGGATGAAGGAGGGAGACATGCGGAGCGGAGTGGGAATGATGAAGGAGAGAGACAGGGGATTGAGAGGTACTCATGGATAGTGGCTACATCTTCGGGCCTTCACTGTATTCATGGGACCCACTGGGTGCGGCTATGTGAGGAGAGGGAGATGGAAGTTGAGGGAGGGAGACAGAGGTGGGG